AAATCTATTTAGTTGAGTGACACCGATAGTTTCTTAAGACAAACACTTCATCAGTTGCACACAGACAAAACTTCTCAACACTAATTTATCCTTTTGTTTTCTCCGCCACAGATAATTGCGTGTTTTTACCACTTAAAACAACAAAACACTCAGGCAGAATCAGCCGAATTCCTCTCCATCTAAAATAGTCTTTTTTCTCCTCATCACATTCCTCCTCCCCTCGCTTTAACCTTTTCTTTTCTTTCCTGTCAGCTGCAGCCTTTCCTCCTCCTAAACCCGATCTCTGCTGCTGTTTCATGTAAAAAGGAAGAAGTTTTTAAACGTGCTGCGCCTCGGCGAGCTGTAGTAGCTGTCAAGGTGAAAGCCAGGGTCTCCTCTCAGCAGCCTGGATCTGCTCCAACGCTGCATATTCATGAGGCACAGTAATCTGACAATTACACCTGATAGGGCCCTCGTCCTTGTTTGTGCACTTCATTATGAGCTCCTCTTTGTGGATTTAATAGTACTGCAGTTGCCTCTTGCAGTGTAGACATCATTTTTAACAAGCAAATATGCTCTCTGTCTTTTTATGTGGATTGTAAGACAGTTGGCGGTACTCAGGCTCGTCTCAGAGCCCATAAAATGTGAGGAAAGTTGATAATTGCCTCGGTTTTTGCTTAGTTTGATTGAAATGGCAACGTATTTTTTTGATTTAATCGCCGTCTAAATAAAACTCAGCAGTTCCGAAGCAGCAAGAAAAGAGCTTTTTGATGCGTAAATTGCTGCAATCAGTGTTGTGATTATCAGCTTTGTGACAGAGAAACATTTTAATAAAAAAAGAAATGCAGGCTGTTCTGCTGTGTGATTGTAGGATGTTTCCACTGCTGACTGCTTAGACCACGTCCACACTGAGGCAGCTAAATCTAAAAGTGTCTGAGAGGTTTTACTCTTTTCAGCCACAAGGTCACTGACTCCAATCATATCAGATGACCGTTGGTGTACATTGGACATCGGTGTAAAAACACAGCAGGAGGTTGGTTGCTTAGTTGTAGAAAATACTATAGAGGAAGAACAACAATGGCAAAAATAAAAACTCAGGATTTCCTTAACTGCACTAAACCTGCCAGTAGAGACAACAAGGTCAGCAACGTCTGATAATATTTAGTAGTCAAGGATTTGTTTGTCTGTTTTCTTCAGGAAAAATGTCAAAACATCGGAGTGTGATGAATGAGGGAAGGACACAATAGTGACCATTAGAACCAATCAGAAAGCAAACATGGCTGCCTGCTCTGGGCTCCAGACTGGAACCAAAATGGTTGCATATGTTGCCTTTTTTTGAGAGTGTGTGAGTTAAAATTTTAAGTGGTCGCATTCGTGTGAGTGAATTATAATCATTTAGCATTTTGTTGTCGCTTTAACCAGCACAGGCAGCTACTGCGTTAGCCACAGCAGTGGACAGGCTAACTTTTATTTCTTCCGTGGCTCCATCAGTTTGGTTCTGCCTGATGCATAAAACAAGCTACTGAACTGATGTGTGTTCCTTAACCAAGAGTCAGAGGTCCGACTCAGGTGATGATCAGAGAGCAGGTGCAGCAGGAACATACTGAGCCGGTGAGCGAGCCTATTACAACAGCTAGAGCAGTAGTGGGGGGGGGGGGTTAGTTAATTAATTATTACTCTCATTCTTTTTTTTTGTTTCTAGTGTCTGTATGCAATTGATTGTGTTTTTTCTTTTTTTTTTTGTTTTTTTTTCTCGTTGATAGCAGTGCGTGTATGTGAATTCAGTCTGTTTGTTTGTTTGTGGCCACCCCTTTTTTTTCTACCTTCCTTTCTTTCCTGTCTATCGCGCTGACTATAATTTGTGCCTACTTTGTTGAAGAGGAAAAAAAAAAGTGTACATAAACAGGCTGCACTTTTCTATAAGCTGCAGGTGTCCACGTTGTACCATGACATATTTACACAAAGATTTTTTTAACTTTTAATTAAATACGTACCGGTAACATACACAAATACGTACCGTAAAGGTTTTTTTTTGAACAGTGCCTGTAACACGGCTGGTTAAAAAAATACAGCAGCCTACCAGGAAAAGTCATTGATCGCTATCTTTATCTTCCTCCTGCACTAAAACCACTAAAGTTGTCTTCTTCTGTGTCAGAACTGAACAGCCTCAGAATTGCTTCGTCACACACTTCCTCAGTCTCTCTTTCGTTGTCGCTCTCAATGTCACTTTCGTCTCGAGGCAAATTTGTAAAAATCGTGAAAATCCATAAATTAGCCGCATCATTGTTTAAGCTGCAGTGTTCAAAGTGCGTGAAAAAAGGAGCGGCTTATAGTCTGGAAATTACGGTAATTTTTCCCAGACAAGTGTGTGAGCAAACACAGCCACCAGGCGACATCTCCCCCAGGCTGAACTGTGAGACGTTTAGGGAACGTCAGTGGATGTGGTGTCTGTCGATGAGCACCTGTGACCAGGTGAGGGGTACGACTAACTGACAATGTTGGTCGCACCAGTGTGACTAGTGGAAGAGTTAGTGTGGAGCCCTGCTGCTTGTTTCTGCCTGTCCAGGTTTAAACGCAACCTCAGGGTTTTTAAACTAAAACCGAGTCAGCAGCTTTACCAAAAGTCTCCATATTAGGGATGCTAAAACCCCGAGAGCAGAGTGGACACAAGGTGTAGTAGAAGTTCCAGGAAAAGCAGGAAAATCTCTTCTTCCTTCCCTTTGACAACCTAAAAAAGTCTTCCCATAGTTACTATACTTCCCATCATCATGCACCCAAGGTTTTTTTTTTTTTTAATTTCCAATCTTTGTTGTTGTTTTTTAAAGGTCTCATCCAGTGAAAATCCATTTATATTATGTTTTGTGGTTGTTACAGACTTGGAGGTGTAAAATAACTCCCCAAGCCTTTCCGCTAGTCAGCCTCCCGGCTTTACGAGTAAGAATTCAACTCAGGTGTCATGTAACACCTAACTGACCGATAGTCGTCCAGTTCAGACATGCAGGCAGCGTGTTCTACTCAAAGAGGAGCGAGAACATCAGCAGCTCATTGATTTTCGGAGCAAAACAACCCGTTTGGAGCCGTCTTTGCAGTACTTTGAGCTGAAAAACTAAAAGGTGCCCAGTCTATTTGCTAAATTTGCTGAAAAAGTGCCGAATGTACGACCTTTGACGTCTCATCCTAAAACAATTCCAGCAGCAATCCCCAGACGGCTGCACTGATAAAATAGCTCTTTATGTTGGGAATGGGGTCTGCAGCAGTAAGAATAAATGGAGGTTCGTGACAGCAGCAGCGATGTCGGTAAGATGTGTGATCACACAAATGTTGTCTTGCTCGCTGACCCTGATCAGACTCGTGTCAGCGTTTCCCCAAAGCTCATATTCACCAGAACACATTCAGCAGCATTTTCAGAAATATCCTCTGTTTTTGGGTGTAGAAACGCCTGCTTGGTCTTTTTGCTTTTAGCTTGTGCGAGCTTCAACCACCACGATAGCTTGTTGAGGTATGTAGCCGACGTAGACACTACTAGCAGACAAACATAAGTGAACTTTCTGTGTCTTCTCAGGTGGCAGATAATTAGATAATCATTTCGAAGCGTGTCCACCAGCTCCCATGAACCAAGCAGCTGCCCTTCGTCCAACCCCTCCAGCACTTTTTGCTGACTCCGTTCTTTCCAGCTCCACATCTCTCCTGGGGGGGTTGCCGCTCTGTAATTTGCATCGCCTATTTTGTCTAATTGCCCCACTGCAGGCCCCAGCACGATCTCCAGAACCTCTGCCATTTGCATAGGAGGAGCCGCTGCTCTGCGTTCTCCGGATGATTCTGTGGTCGACTGACACCTCCGTCTGTGGAGTGTCAGGACCGCTGACTCATGTTAATCAAAGCTGCAGTCAGAGTGTTACGAGCGAGGCTTATGTGGATTCTTCCGAAGTGACAAAACCATCTTCTGAAAGACAATATGAATATGCAACAGCAACTGTCCATATTTCTGTGAGCCGCTTGCTTATTTTATGGCAGAGTAGGACTTGCAGAAAATGCTTTCTTAAGTGGCTTGGAGAGGAAATACACTTTCAAATTTCACTATAAATAGTTAATGGCAAGCGTCGATATCCCGCTACACCCCAAAACCATCCAGCAGGTTTAAAAGTACGTTATCTTTTACATAAAACACCTAAACTAAGCCATTTATCAGAGCCAGTAACTGCAAACTCAGAAAAAACAATTGTGCAAATGTTCCGTCAGAAAAATACCAAATCTAAGCTTTCAGAGTTTTTTGTCTACATGTCTCATTTCAACAAATTGTGAAAAATAAACAGTTTGCATCCAACTAAAGTTTAACAGAGAAACCAGACACGAGCCAAATATCCAGGGCCTTCTCGGCTGAACTGCAGGCGGTGTTTACACATAGTAACTAGGTGATGACAGTTTAGTGGGGTTTAGAGGAAAATAAAACATGCTTGAGCACTCAAATAAATGCAGCGTGGCTCAAAAACGGTATACAGAGGAAGAAATTGTCAGCAGGTTGCTGGAAGAGACCTTCAGCACTTAATTTTTTCTAGAGCTGATGTGCAGAGAAGTGTGAAAAACACCTCATCTGTAGAGGTTGTAAAAATGATTTTTTTAATGTAAGATAAATAATCAAAGAAACACAACTTTTGTTTTATCTTTTTTTTTTTATTTAATTCTTTTTTTTTTTTACTTCATATAATTTTGAGTTCTCTCTATGTTTATCTATGGTTGTGTTGTTTCCATAGAGGCTCAAAACTTTATATTGCAGTGAAAAATTAGCCCACAGTGAGTAAAAATGTGAGTCTGGAGGCTTCATGTTGTCTTATTTAATATCCTGTAGCTGTATTTCTAGATGGGATTAGGTTTCCTCGTAGCTAAACAAAAAGCAAAATGGTGAAAATAGTCATTTTTGATGATTTTTTTCCCTTTTCTTTCATATTTATTGGTGAACTCTGTGTGAGACGTGTTTGCACATAAACTAAATGGGACTCTCTTCTCTCTCCTTTACCTCCCAGACATGGTTACTACGGCACGTCAGGCCCTCCCGCCCCGGTCAAGGCCCTGACCGACCTGAAGCTCCACTTAGCCAACCCCTCCCACCCGGCTTCCTCCTCGTCTTCGTCCGACATGGTGGTGATCCACCCGGGGGCCGTCCTGGCCATCCTGGACCTGCTGCCCTCCGTCTGCTCCGACAGCCAGCCAGAGGTGAGGAAACGCAACCAGGAAGCGCAGTTCCTGCAGAGCGAAGGGGTCAGATGGAGGGCAGGAAAGTCCCTGCGTGGTCTGTTGGTTTTTACATGTCAGAGGACAACCAGACACTTTTAGTAGCAGCTACATGTCAGCTGTTTAAAAAAAGAAGCTGCACAAAAACAAGTTGTGTTGCATGATTATGTGAAAAGAGCTGCTTTAAGTAGTTTAAATCTCATTCAGTTACTTTATTGCCTTTTATAAATTGTATTTTTTTCTTTCTATTTTTATTTTTGGGGGGAGTTAAACCATCTTTATATTCTCATCTCTATATTCATACCAATAAAGCATATTGAATGTTAATTTAGGGCAATTTGGGGCTGCAGCTAACTATTATTTTCATTGTTGATTAATCTGTCAATTATTTTCTAGATTATTCGATTCATTGTTTTGTGGTTTCAATGACTTCTTTGAATATCTTGTTTTTTCCACAACCCAAGATAACAATTTTACCATCATAGAGGAGGAAAGAAACTAGAAAATACTAAGATTTAAGGAGCTAAAGTCAGAGAGCTTTCTTAAAAATTTCTAAAAAAAAAATACTTGAACCGATTAATCAATTCTAGAAATAGCTGCTAAATAATCTAATATTTAATAGTTGCCAATTGCAGTTTGCTTGTATTCACTCAATTGTTCTAAACCTTTATAGAAGAAAGATCAGAACTAGCCTTAAATCCAGATTCATATAGTTAAAATAGTTATTCTGAATGTTCTTGTGGTGTAAGAGAGGCCACTATAGGTAAGATCCTCTATCACAGTATGTCATATGTAAATTGTGATATTGTAAATATTGTGATAAATGTACTGTTGACAGGTACAAAAACATAGGAGTGTGTTTATATTGAATACAGGGTAATAAATCATCAAAATGTAAAAATCATATAATAATCCAATTCTGCCATAAATCAGTTCTTCCAATTTATTTACGACATCAAACACCCACATATTTTGAATGGAGATGCAGTGTGGTATACATAGTGTGAAAGAATTCCTTGTTGCTGTCAACTTTCTGTCCTCCCGTTGTATAAATCGCCAACTTTCTTCTCCGTCTGTCTCGGTCGCAGCATGCCCTCGACCTGCAGCTGGCCGTGGCCAACATCCTGCAGCTCCTGGTGAACAGTGAGAGGAACCAGCAGGTTTTGTGTGAAGCTTGCCTCCACCAGCGGCTGCTGCAGCGCTGCAGTCAGGCCCTCGGCGATGAAGACCACCCGCTGCACCCGCCGCTGCAGAGGATGTTTGAGAGGCTGGCCTCGCAGGCCCTGCAGCCGATGGCACTCAGGTACTGAACCTGGCTTTTGACATTTCAATATACTATAAATATTAGTTTGGCTCCTGCATGGGTCACTGATCCCATATGGTGATGTGACCCTTAAAAGTTTATCCAAATGCGCTTTTCTCTGTGGTTGAGGTATCAGAAAATATAAATCTCAACCAGGGGAGCAATGATTCTTTCCATCACTCTGCCAGAGACAATAAGTCGGTGCTGTTTAGTATTGAAACTATGATATCGATGCTCAAGGCTGGTTACAGTGAAAATCATGCTGGTCAGGAATAAGATTTTGTTTTTTGATGGTGACACCTGGAGTGGATGTAAAATTGATTTGGTTTCATTTTTAGGTGCAGGTCAAATGTGTTTGTCATCCCTGAAAATTTCATTTGTCTCATACTTATAAGATTTCGAGGGCTGCAAAAAGTTAATGCTAAAGTTTCACCCCGTCCAGTGTACCTCAAAGGCCTGTAACTGGTAAATATTGTGGTATGAAGGTAACATTTTGCACGGCTTTATTAAATATACTCAGCATATTGTATATTGAAAACAATCAGCTGATTCTGGGTGTCAGGTGGGAGCTTTTTCAGATTGTATGTGTTGGAGAAATTTTACTCATAGTCCTCATGTGAAGTTTGCTGTAGTGGGTGTTTATTGGTATTCTGGTATACGGTGGGCTCACCAACACAGAGCATGAGTCTGTGAAGGTGGACCGACCCT